CACTCCCTTAAGTATAGTAATTTACCCAGGGCTCACAAAGAATTACTGACAGAGTCAAGACTGGACCAAGATGTACCAACTTCGAGTCTGGAGAACTTTCTAGAATAACTCACTGCCCCTGTCAAGCAGGTATAGACAGTAAAAGGAGTTTGAATAACTATAAATGTTGTTTGAATGAAATGAGCCTTTCATTCTGTCAATAAATCCTTTTCAAATCCTGACCATGTGTTAACTTTAGGAGAAATAGCATTGCTGACCCTATTCTCTTGTAAGTAAATTGAGAAACAGCAATGGTTTTAGAGTTATTTGCCATTTTGGATTAGTATTACTGATAATCTCTCCATTTTAGTCATATAGTGGGCTGACTATATATAGTCATGATGACATGGAGCAGTTGTTAGCTTTTTGTTTTATACTTGAATATAGGTTGAACTTATGGTGGGGTTTCTTTAGTACAGAAAGTCAGGAAGTTGCCTTGCCAGGTTCCCACAGTGAAGTTGGCTGTCCCTTTGTGAGGGCCATTGCCCTGGGCTCTTTCTGACGCTATCCCTGGCAGGTCCCAGAGGCAATGGTATACAAATGCTATATTGGTCACTGTGAAATATAGGAAAAGGTGAAGCCTACATATTAAGTACTATAGAATTCCATTTATTTAGGTCCTTCCTGGAGGAGAGGTCTTGGCTGGGTCTAGAAGGGAGGCAGTTCCTTCCCACTTGATTGTGTTATAGGCAGAATACTATGTAATGTGGCTACCGTTGTGTGAGAAGCTAAGGTGGGTTCTATTGTGAAGGAGGGCTGGGAGAGTTGCTTCTTTTCCCAGCTGGGAAACCTCATACCTCATCCTGAATTTCCTGGCTTGGGAGGAGGTAAGGTATTAGGCCCTATTGGGGGTTTGGGGGATCAGTGTGCTTTTTTCCCTTACAAAAAAACTGTCTTTAGCATTTGTTTTAATGCCCTTGGCCTCTAATGGTCCACCTGCAGCCTCCACTTCCACGAAAAACCTGAGAGGGGAGCTCAATGAATGAGATGTTGGAAGGCAACTGGCAGAGGCTGGGGACTCTGCCATAGGGGTTGCGGGTGGTAGGAGAGGGACTGTGTGGAGACTTTTGGGGAGCTGTTCAGAACCTGGCTGGGGTGGTCTCCAGTAGGGTTATGAGGTAAAGAAGCAGCAAGTGAGAGGGAAGACAGTTGGGTTAGGATGGCCCAGTGCTTTAGTTGCCTCCCCTGATGGAAAGGAGAAGGGGAAAGTGGCTGTCCTTGTGAACTGGGAAGAGCTGGCTGGACTCTTTCGTCTTGAGTCTGGCCATGATCCTCTTCTTTCCAGCAGCCCATGGAAGTCCAAAGGAGTTGCCCAACAGAAGTCAAATGCCTAGAGCTGATCATCCTACTATGAACTGGGCAGAGCCAGGGTTGACCCAAACTCCTCAGGTGGGCTTTCCTTACCTCCATCACCAGCTTCTCTGGGCACCAGAGCCGGAACCCTCATCAACCCTTGAAGCCCCTACCTGCTGGGTATCAGCTTGTGTCTGGGTTATGGCAGTGCTGGATGTCAGTCTCAGACAAGCACATGTTGATGTACCCTTTGTGCCTGGAGGTTACAGAAAGGTCAAATAGCTGCAACTTATTGTCACTGTGTGCCAGGAACTTAATGCATACTACCTCATTTATTTCTCTAAAAAGTCTAGGTGTTATTAGATGATTATTCCTGTTCTATAGTAAAGAAATGCATACACATGCAACTGCCCTGGAGTCATGTAGCTACTAAGTGGTAGAGCCAGAATTTGGAAACATTTGAACTGTGAAGCCTTTGTTCCTGGTCACTGTACTAACTAGGAGTCAGAGGTGAGATGGGCCGTGAAGGGAGTGAAATGGAAGTAGCAGGGTGGTACAGATTGAAGCAATCAGACATGCTACTCATTGGGCCTTTATTTTGTGCTGGACACTGTACTAAGTACGTACACTAGTTCTTTAAACCTTCATAATAGCCCTGTACAGCTAGTACTATTATCCCTATTTTATTGATGTAGGAACTGAGGCTTCAGGTTAAGTGTCTGGTCTAAGGTGGCCCAGTAGTGAGTCCTAAATCCTAAGCCTCATCTGCCTTAGAGGAGATTGTGCTCACTGTCTCCAGGCCCTGGAGAAGGGGGTTCAAGGGCAGAAGACTTCCTTCTGAGACCAGCGCATCCCCAGCCTTCCAGTGGGAGCTGGAGGCTAAAGGTCCCTGGGCTTCTGACACCCCAGGCTGGGGTGGGAGTAGAGGGTCTCCAGCTGTACGAGTCAGCCTGTTGGGCCCCAGACCTTGGTTTTCTGAAGTCAGGACATTACTTGGCATCTTTTAGAAGTCCCCAGACAGGACAAGCGGTCCTGGCAGTTCTGCCTGCAGGAGGAGTTTCGCGCTGACCCTTGGCTCTGCTCAGCTCTGCCTTTCCACTCCTCAGGCTCTGGCCTGTTTGTATTTCTTTGATGTTCCTCTTTGCCTGCCTCTCCCAAACTCCTGCAATCACTGGAGCCCTTGTGTGGCTCCTTCCTTGCACCCTGTAACCACCTTATGGGCCATACTGAGCCAATAGCTCTGAGACATCCTGCCACTCCCCATCTCCAGGGTAGGGAGGATTCGAAAACATCATTTTCTTAGGCATTTCTTTTTTCTGATATCTTCCTTTGTTTAGCATTGAACTAATAGCCATTACCCAGGATATTTGTGTTTGTTTGTTTGGGGTGCTGGGGATGGAACCCAGAGCCTTGTGTGTGGTAAGCAAGTGCCCTGCCACTAGCTATCCTCCTAGCCCTCCTTGGGGGTTTGAAAAGGTTTAGGAGTGTCCCCTGATAGGGGCCCTCTGGAGGGAAGGAATTTTTTTTAAAGCACATTGGGTGTTATTCATTACACTAGCCTGATCTTTCCAGATGCCTTTGTTGCTACTTTACTAGAGACTGGAGGGTTGGGCCCTATTTATTAGCTTTATTTTTCAAAAAAAAAATGGAAATATTGTTCCTTTTCTCATAGATATAAAAGTAATAGATACTTTTGAAAGTCAAATGAAACAAGAATGTAGAAAGTGAACACTTGTAAGCCCTCACTGCCCCAGTCCCACCCCACGTCTCAAAAGACCATCACCCATGACCATTTGTTGCTGATCTTTTCAGTCTTTTATTCTCTGTGTATGTTTTTCTTATTTTTATTCTGTGTGTATGTTTTTCTTTTCTTAGATAAAAATAGAATCACCCTATAAATAATTTTAAGTACTTGCTTTTCCCTTGATACAATATTAATTTCTTTTACAACAAAAATGTTGTATATTATTTATATAATTTTAAATCTAAGAGTGAAAGATTCATGAAAATTTCTCTCATGCCATTAGCTTTCTACAATATCATGTCAAATTACCACATTGTACTGTGTGAACACACATTGTGGTCTTTCTGGCTTGGGCCACACTGAATGAAGGAGAATTGTCTTGGGCCACATATAAAATATATAAGATAATTATATCAGCACTCTGGGAGCCTGAGGCAGGAGGATTGCAAGTTTGAGTCCAGCCTGGCCAATTTAGCGACTTAGTGAGGCCCTGTCTCAAAATTTTATAAAAGTGCTGGAGATATAGCTTAGTATAGAGGCCCTGGGTTTAATCCTCAGTACTATAAAAACAAAACAAATAATAAAACTTGCTATATTTTAAAATATTTATTATGGTAACTTTGATGTGTCTGACCCGTGGGCTATAGGTTGGACAGGATTCTACCTAATTTGTCATTTGTGTTTTTTCTTTTTTTGCGGGGAGAGGTTACTGGAGATAGAACTGTAGCTTCTGCCCTGAGCTACATCCCCAGTCCTTTTAATTTTTATTTTGAGACACAGTCTCACTAAGTTGTCCAGGCTGGGTTTAAACTTGCAATCCTCCTACCTCAGCCTCCCAGAGTAGTGGGATATAGGAATGCATCACCACACCTGGCTCCAGGTTTTTAATATCACAGACAGACCTGTCTTTGTGCATTTGTATGGCTCTTTTTGTAGACCACATCTTGGAATTGGAAAGGCTGAGTCAGATGGCCAGATTGCCCTTCGAAGTGCTTACAGCCTCTGACAAGCTTGATGGAAGAGGCCTTTTGAGAAGCACTGTATAGGTGCCTGAGAACATGGGCTTGACAGTCAGGTAGACTTCTGGCTCTGCAACTTCATAATCAACCTCTTTGAGCCGCAGTTTCCTTCTCTGCAAGTTGGGATGTTGATGATACCTAGCTCAGGGTTTCAGTGAGGACTACATGCTATAATATACATGAAGTTCTCAGCATCTGTGCTCAGTAGGGCAGTAATTATTCAGTCCTCTTGTGGCTTTGAGCCTGTTAAGGCTCTTGCTTTCTGCGTAAGGATAATGCTCACAGTTTCCTGATGCCCACCGTCACTATGGGCATGAGGAGGAGTTCGGCCGAGAAGCCAGCCTGGAAAGAGGGTGACCTTGTCTTCACTCTGGTGACAGCTCTCACTCCAGTCTGCCCTCTCTAATGTAGTGAAGGCAGCAGAAATGGAGGAAATCAGGATCTCCATTTGCATCCTGCCTGTTGCAGCTTTAGTAGGTACTGGGCAGGCCCCCAGAAGAGGGCCTCAGGGGAAAGGCCACGCTGACTGCAACTCTCCCCTCTTGCACTTTGGACAACCCTCCAATGCTGGCCCTCTTCACAGGGAGGAGGATCTTCAAGGCTCTTGTTAAAATGAACTGTTAAAGGAAAGTGGAAGTGATTTCCTTCTGTCCACTCTTGGACCCCAGGAAAGCTGTAGCCGTTGCCCTGTTCTCAGAAGGGCTGCATAGAGGGAAGGGCAAAGCTGACCAAGGATTCAGATGGAGCTTTAGATAAGTAGAACCAAGGGCAGTGAGCATCATCAAGGAGGGGGTGGATGGCCCCAAAAGTCAGTGGAGGGGCATTTTGCTGAGACCAGCTGTGGACATCTGTCTGCCCCCTCCCCACAACCCTCACTCCATAGGAAAGATAACTGAAGACAGTGATTTAATTCTACCTATATTTTATTTCTTCTTTATTTGTCTCCCTCCACCCCTTCATATTTATACCTAGCCCCTTCCCCAAAGCTAGCTTGTCCCAAAGTTCCTGATAGCAGGTCAAGAAGTGTGACTACAAAGCAGGCAGTCCTAGAGGTAGTGGGCACTGTTTGTCCTGTACCAGGGAAGGGCTCTTCTGGGTGATTCATGTGGCAAAGATTGGCTACTGGGGTCAAGGGAGGCCTTTATCACCAGATGCACTCCGCACTCTCTGCAGCTCAAGGCACACCACAACATCAGCAAAGCAGTGTCAGCCAGTGGCCTTCTCAGTGTCAAGCTTGGTGCTTTCTTCGCTTGTAAGGACCCACACACATGGCCAAGTCTGGACCTAGACCTGCAACTGGCATCTGAGGGGCATCTGTGTCCTTGGAAGCCGCGTATGACCACCTGCTATTAGTCTGGTGGGAAGTCTAATTTGAGAGGGCCAGGGACAGAAGGGGGCACACATTATATAAGGTATAGGCATTGTTTTAAACCGGAGGAAGTTGCAGCTTAGGCTGGCACATTGAAGGTGTGAAATAGGCAGGACGAACCGATTCACTTGAAAGCCGGAGGCTCCTCCAGCCTCTTCAATAAACTCCACTGGTGCCCCAGGCCACAGGTAGCAGGAGAGCAGGCATTTAAAATCCTAGAGTGTCAGCTGGCCAGGAAGGTCCTCAGTGACTACCCGTTCTATTCGGCAAGTACAAAGCCCAGAGGGGGAAAGCGCTTGGTTCAAATCTCATCGTGACTGGGCAGCCAGACCTCTGAGACAGTTAGGGAGAAGGAAAGTGTGGTACACTGGGCTTTCTTCCCTTGATATCCCACCTGCTAAGGCTGTGGCCTAGGGGAGTGGGTGGTGCCAGGAGGGCTGTACTGTCAGTCGTTGGAAGAGGGAGGGGTCTGGCAGGTGGGATGTGCCTTTGGGTGTCCCTTTGTCCACTTCAGGTGGAGCTTATAGGGCTCTGGCCATGCCTGTGGCTGTAAGTGACCCTGGGAAAGCAGGACCAGGCTTGGCACTGTCCTCTGGGCCCAGGCGTTTCATCCCTGCGACCTCTGCAGCTCAGGCCCAACCTTGGCCTGCGCCACCTCTACCTCAAGGTGCCCCAGCTAGGGAGAGGCCTTGCAGCTGCTCCTCAGCGCCTGCCAGCTCCACTTCATCACGCCCGCTCTCGGAGCCCTCGAAGCATCCGGAGTCCCGTGGGATGTCCACCTTGGGTTCTGACACTGTGTGCAGCACTGGCTCATGACCACTCTCAGCACCCTCTTCGGCCTCCTCACTGCCAGCTGCCAGGGTGGGGGAGGAAGACAGAATATGGGTCCCATGCTGAGGGGCCAGAAGCCTTTGGGAGCTCCTGGGTAGGGTTAAGAGCCCTGGGAAGTCTCCTGGAGGCAGTTGGTCCCTCTGACCCCTTCTACCACCCCTCCTCCTCTCACCACTTTCAGTTTAGAAGCAGGTGAGAGGTGTTTGCAGGCTACTCTGAGGTGGCCTGGGAGCTGAAACTTCTCCAGCAATGAGCTTGAGTCCTGCCAACCTGGCTTGAACCCTGGCTATATCCCCCAGCTTTGAGGCTTCACATAAATGCCTTACCTTCTCAGGCCTTAAGTCTCCCCTTTGATCCAAAATGGGGTGGGGCCTGATCACCCCTACAACCTCTTACCCCCACACATTTCCCTGAGACTCAAAATCAAGTATACAAAGTACCTTCTTACAGCAGAGGTGCTCCAGGTTAGTGTGCGGTCAGAGGACAGAGCCAGGGCCAGCATTTGTCCTCTGGAATGCCGCCAGTGTGCATGACCATCCCCCTGTTCCTGAAGTTACTCACTGTCATAGTCCAGCAGCAACTCGGCAGCCGTGAGCAGCTTGGCCCGGTGTTGTGGGTCCATGATGTTCAGCTCATTGAGGTGTGTTTCCCGTAGCTCTTTGAAGTCTTCCAGTGTCTGGTAGCCATTGAGAAGCAGGGTGGATGTGTGCTCCTGGGGGCAGAGGCAGGTCACTGACACGGCTGCATATAAGCCACCCCTGCCTAGAATCTGCCCCCTACTCATAGCTGTCATTCTCCAGTCCCCATCCCAGGGGCAAGTGTGCCTCCCTTGCTCCTAGACACCAGTGTTGGTCCATGCTCAAACCTCCAGGCCAATGCGCTCCAGCAGCTCATGCAGAGTCTTGGGCTTGGGCCTTTTGCCCTTGCTCTGTCGGCGGCTGGGGCGGGCAGGCCCCACAGCCTCCTCAGGCAGCACATCCACGTAGATGAATTTGAAAGAGCCCAGCTTTCCATTGAGCAGGCCCAGCCATGTGCCCACAGGTGGCTTTTCAATGATCTGGATCACGTCTCCTTTCTGTGGGGGGAGAGGAGAGGACAGGAGAGCAGAGCGGGGTTACTTGGCCTCTGCTGGTTCTGTCTTACCTAGCTCAGTCCAGTCTCCTTTATGGCTGCATCCCGCCAGGCTCTGGAGGAGCCTGGATGCCAACCCTACCTGCAGTTTCAGCGAGTCGTGATCATAGGGGCTGGGAGTGAAGTCGGTGTGAACTCGAGCTCGGCCACAGAAGGGTCCTATGTGCAGCGGAGCAGGTGATTCCTCCCCAAAGCTGCCGGAGCCTGTGCTGGGGCTGTAGAGCTCACTGCCTGCAGGGGAGTGGGCAGGGAGGAGACTTACCTTGGTTCCAGTGCCCAGCAGGCACCTTCCAGGTGGCCTGATAAAAGTCTCAAGGGTACAGGCTGGGGGAAGAGCTGCATTCTGGTGGCTGAGTGATTTGGACCCAGCCCCTTGGCCACCCTGGAGAAGGATAGCTTCACCTCTGAGACCTCAGATAATGAGAAGAGTTGACAGGACAGACAGCTCACAAACCAAATAATGGGTGAATTGCGGGGGGCGGGTCTTGTGACCGACCCTGCCACGAATAGATGAGGAAAGCGAAGGCCAGCCATGCTAGGTGATCTGCTTGAAGCCTCTCACTTTACGCAGGGCGGCACTGAGTCTGTTGACTCCCAGTGCCCCCAGCAAGCCACACCTTGCATTAATACTTTACTTTCTCTACTTAATAGGATTCAATCTTTGGTTATAATGTCCCACAGAAACTCGGGTGAGCTCTTTCTCCCTGGGAATGGCAAGGTGATGAACGTTTCAAGAAGCTTTTCAAGCTTCTACCTTCCCTTGGAAGGTGGGGGACACACTGGTCCAAGAGGGCAGTGAGGCTCTTCTTCTGCTTGTGGCCCCCTCCAGGGCCTGGGCCCAGCAAGAGGAAGCTGCTCTAGGGCAGATCTGAGTTCAAGACTGGACCACCTTGAGTAAGTCACTTAGCCTCCCCAAACTTCAGTTTCCACGTCAATGAATTGGTCCCATGAGCTTGTTGGGAAGATTTAATGTGAAGAGGCCTGGGAAAGCTTCCAGCAGGAAGACAGGAAATATTTTTCTTACCGCCCCCTCCCAGACAGCCCACTGGCATGTCCCTATCCCATCCTTTCCTCCATATTTACAGGTGTCCTCCCACCTGCTCTACTCACCCGTTGATGCCTGGCGGCTGAGCACTGGGAGTGCATGCTCCTCCTGCTCAGCAAAGGCCAGGGCCATTTTCTCAGGGCCAGGGCTGTCAAGGCTGCAATCTGGAGACGTTGGGGAGGCTGAGCCCTCCTCCAGCGTGTCTGCCTGTGGGGAGAGTAGGCAGGAAGCCCTGAGTAGCCTTGCCAAGGTAGCAGCAGAACTGAGCCTGGGCTTGGCTCAAACTTCAGCTCTGCTACTTACAGGCTCAGGGACACTCTCTGAGCCCTAGCTGACAGTCTTTGTCCTGCCTACCTCCTGGCATGAGGCTCACCAGGGCGGCGGGTGAAAATGCTTCATCACTTTCAAGTGCTGATGTACATGCAGAAAAGGCCATGATTGCTGAGGTTGGGTTCAGGGCCATTGGTACAGCCCAGTCAAGCAGACATTGCTTCTGAAAGAAAACTACTTTTGCCTGTGCTCCTATGTGCCAGGCTTGCCTGCCATTTCACTTAATCCTCAGGGTGATCCTTAGAAGTGAGTGGTACGGTTGGCCTGGGTTCGCAGATGAAGAGTTACCCTGCCAAGGCCTTCAGGAACCCATAGCCAGCTCAGTCTGACTCCAGAGCTCTGCCCAGCTCACCCTATCTCAAGGTGATACTGTTTATCACCTAGCTCTTCAAGAATAAAAGCTTCAAGGATTGGCCAGTTCTTGTGTTGTATGTACTCCCCACCATGACCAGCATCAGGCTACCACTGGGTTTTCACCAGAGAAGTTGTGGGAGGAGGCGATAGCTAGGTTATTTCCACTACACGGATACTATAGACGCAAATATCTTCAATGACAGATAGGAGAAACAGGTGTGATGAATCCTGAAGATTTCTGGGATCACCCTTGTCTTTAATAGAATTTATTTAATTGTACATTTATATAATTTTTAAAATAATGGTTCTATTTAACAACCAGCTTGCAAAATTCCCTACAATTTATCCAACTGCTCACAAGCTGAGTCCAGCACACCACAGCTTGGTGCCTCCTGTAAGAGCTACAAGCACACCAGACTCACTCTGCTTTAAGCTACTGTGGCTGTGGCTGTGTCTGTCCCATAGCTCTGCCACCTTCCTCCTGAGCCGAAGCCAGCCTTCTCAAATTTGTCTATGTTCTCTCAACTTAGCTATGGTTCAGCTTAGAATCTTTTGACTTTACGATGGTGTGAAAGTGATACACATTCAGTAGAAACCACGCTTCCAGTTTTGAACTTGGGTCTTTTCCCAGGCTGGCACTATGGGGTCTGATCCTTTCTGGTACTGGGCAGCCACAGTTCCCAGTCAGAACCAAGTTCACAAAGAGAAACAACCAACACGCTACAGCGTGCTGTGTTGCTCTAAGCTCTGATGTTCAGTGAGTTAGGGTATTCACGGCTTTTCTTCTTTTTATCTTTGTGGTACTGGAGATTAAACCCTGGGCTATAGCACTGAGGTACATCCCCAGCCCTTTTCTAAGTTTTTTATTTTGAGATAGGTTCTTGCTAAGTCACTAGGCTGGTCTTGAACTTGTAATCTTCATGCCTTGGCCTCCCAGAGTTCTGGGATAGTCAATGCACTTTTCACCTACAGCGTTTTCTTTTTTTTTTTTTTTTAAACTTTAGTATTTTAAAATTTATTTATTTATTATTTTTTTTTATTTTAAAGATAAAAGGAGGGAAACATTAACAGACATACAACATTTTACAACATATCACAAGCACAATACAGACAACACAGAGTTACCAACAAAGTGGTAGGGAATTAACAATGGTGGTTGTATTACATATTGATATCTTCAAAGTGGCTTCTCGTGAAAACAGATATAAACATGCAATACTGGTCAACCAAAGACTCATTGACAGTTTCTTTCAGCATAGAAATAGAAGACAGAAGAACAACCATGTCACCTACAGCGTTTTCAACTTATGATTGGTTTATTAAAACAACCCATCATAAATGGAGGAGCATGTATATTTTTCTGTATATCCTCCAAGAATTAGGCCTTCCTGAACCCAGGGGCTAGCTCCAAGCAGAGCTTTGAGGTGAATGGGTTTGCCTCAGGCAATCTTCTCATCTCTCCCACAGCCCTGTCTTCACGGGAAGCTTATGTTGCAAAATCTCCATCCCTCTTCAAAGGCCTTGCCTTTCCTAGCCAGTCTCCTGAACTCTCAGCCTGGTTATTGTGTCTGTGGCTGATGGTGTGCTCTTTCTCCCCTGTGATCTTTCTACTTGCACTGAATAGGGCCTTTAGGCCTGAGTAGTGGCTGTCCAGGTGGTCATCCTCACCCTTATACCTGCCAGAGCACCCCCTGCAGGTTCCCAAGTCTCACCATCTCCTCTGACAGGGCCTTCACCATCATTTTGCCCATCTTCCTGTTCATGGTTCGGGAAATCACTGCTCTCCATTTCTTCCCCAGCTTTTTGCCACTTTTCCCAGCATCCTCTGGGGTGGGAACACCTGAGTCATCTTCTGGAATCTATGGTGACAAAAGAAGAGGTCCAGGGACCCTAGTGACCTTGCTCGAGCCCACGACTTAGAGTAAAAAGAGGCCTTTGGGTCATGGCAAAAGTTGGAAGAGAATTAGAATTGAGACCCTATTCATCTTCCTCCTTAGCCCCAGCCCTGTTCTCAGCTCAATTAGATTGTAATTAATTTTTTTTAAATTTGTAACTGAAAGGAAGGCAGGTGAGTGCTGAGGCCCAGAACTTTGGAGTGTGAGAGGCAGGCCTTCTGTTAAAGGAGACATTCCTAGAACAGTTCTAGTATTTCCTCTTCCCCCTCCTCCCTGTCATCCCCCTCCCCATGGGGGGAGGGCTGCAGCCAGATCCCCCAAGGAGGTTCCAAAACTCACATTATCATCCAGATTAAATTCCTTCTCGCTCACCACGGGGGAGCTGGGTTTGGATTTGGCAAAATCCTTGAAGCTGCTGGAGCGCTGAAGGGAGAGCTGGAAGAAACAATTGTGTTGCAATCAGTGGCGCTAAAATAGCTGCATGAGGGCGATCTGTTTTCCCCTCCCAATGTGCCCCTTATGTATGCACATGTGAACGTGCATACGCACAGGCACACGCACGCACACGCGCGCACACACACACATGCAAGGGCCCAGGGCTAAAGAGGTGAAACGTCAAGATGTCCTTTGGGCTGTGTGGTTTTATCCTGTTTTTCACCTTATCCTGGGCCACAGAGCAAGCTCCTGATCTTGGAAGCCTTCAACCTCAGTGAGGTCCTAGGCTAAGCACAAATTTCCTTCAGTATTTGAAGATTTGAAGTTCAGTCCCCAAAACCCACAGTGAAAGACTGAGTGAGACAGATTAAATGTACACCTCAGCACATGCAAGAACTTCATTGGAAGCTAACTGAGGGCAAATCCCTCCCAAACCCCATGGCTCTGATCTCCATGATCTGGGTCTGCTCCGAGCCTGGTCTGTAGTCACAGTGATAGGAGCAAACATACTGGGGTCTCCAGTCTGATGAACTTGTGTCCCAGGAAGATCAAGGCAATCTCACCCAAAGCCAGAAAGACCTGGCATTATACATTTTAGAAAAGCACAGTAGAGGCTTACTCACCGAAGGTACTTAGAGGTTTGTGCACAAATGATTGGAAACGAGCTTTCTTAACTGTATGTACATGCCCAGGGTAAGATAGCAGTCAGAAACCAGAGCAAGGCAGGTAAGGAGGCAGGCTGTAGATGCAAGACATTGAGGCTGAGCCTGTATCAAGATAAACAGTCAAGACCAGAAAATACACACGAGAACCAGGGTTCACAGATGGCCAGACAGATTGAGTGGGATAGACTGCGGACGGAGAGATAAGGGCTTGAGGAACCAAAGCCCCAAACCCACACAAAGCTGAAGGTTTCACATCCTCTTTCCTACTCAACGGGGGAGGTCCAGGGCTAACTCCCAGGTCAGGGGCAGTATTACTGTCCCCCAAGGCATGCACAATTGGTCCCATCTCTTGAGGACTGCCGTACAGCAGTCTAATACTTTTGCTGGGTCTTGACCAACGTGAAGTCAGCAATCAGGGGTCAGGAGCCACACATTCCTAGAGGTAGTTGACCAGAAACTAGGTCAGCAGTCAGGCCAAGCAGTGACTAGCATCACCAGGGCCACATGACTGGGTTGCCAGCAGCCTAGGTCAGAAAGTCTCCTCTCTGCTCCCTTGGGGACCTAGGAAAAGGGACTGTGAGTGGGGACTGAGAGGGGAAAGTGTGACCGTGGGCTGACCACTGTGGTTCCCATGCATCTTTTCCATCCTCCTTCCTCGGTTTTCCGCTCCCATTATTCTTTCCTTCTTGGGGCCCTTTCTTTTCCCCCGTCCTCCACCTTCCATTTATTTCCTCCTCTTGTATGGTAGGATGCAGCTGCCTGGATAACTTCCTCCGCTAATTACATGGAAAAGAGGGAACAGAGAGAGGGTGGGCACTGAGCTGGCCTGGGCCCAAGAAGTGCAGGCTGAGGTGCTATTTATAGGCTGATGGGTCCTATTGTGGCCTTTCCTCTGCCACCCCTTAGCCCACTCTGTAGACCAGGAGGCTAAGTCGCCCCTGAAGCCCCAGGGACTGGTAAGATTGGAAAGTGAGCAGGAGGGCAGGCGGGGGCCAGAAGTAGGCTTTGTTAGGGAAGAGTAAACTCATAGCTCGGCTCCCCTCTAATCGCAGCTCTTTTCCTAGACCTTTTCCTGTCATTAATCTGCAGTTGGGGGCGGAGGGAGCTGGGAGGAAGGGCCTTGGGCTTCTAGGGTCTGGTGTGAAGGCCCCTCAGTCCCAGCATTAGCCCAAAGCAGAAGACAATTGAAAAAGGTAACAGAGGTGGTGCTGGGCCTCGGGCCAGGCTGGCTGCTCGTCAGTGCAGGGAGATGGAAAGGACTAACACATATTCTTTGGGTGACCAATGATGAGAGCCCACCCAGAGTGGCCTTTTCCCAGACCTACCTCCAACTTTAGGAGCAGTCCCAATATCCCTGCTGCCTTTTGGTGACCCTGGGGTGAACTCCGCCCAAGAATAAGTTGAAGCACTTGACCCAGTGGGGTTTCTACCTGGCCTTTCTTTGTGGTGAGGGCTTGCTGGCAGTCATGCATGCAGGGCAGCTAGTGCCATATGCTGCCAGCCACTTTTTTAAGTCTAAGGGGAGCATGTGGGCCTGGTGGAAAGATCTACATTTTTGGCATCAGACATTGCTGAGTTCAACTTTGGGATGTGAGACCTTAGATAATGTATTTAACCTTCTGAACCTAAGTGCCTTCATTTGCCATCAGATGGCAAAGCTGTGCTACTGCCTAGCTGTGTAAAGCTAGATAAGTTACTTAACTTCTGTAGGCTTCGGTTTTCTCTGCAGTAAAATGGAGGCCAAAGCATCTACCTCGCTGTGCTGTTGTGAGGATGAAACACGTGCAGCGTGCTTAAAACATTGCCTGACCCAGCAATCCAACACCGAATGCGTTCATGCTTAGCCTTTCATAAGACCCACCTGCATGCGCTTACTCTGGACATTTCCCGATCAGAACTATCCTGCCCTCCCCTCTGTCAACCATGGTTTCTCACCTTCTTCAAATTCCAACCTAACGAAAAACAACCCAAATACTCATCAACGGTAGAATGGCTATATTGATTGTGGCAGTCATACTCAGCAAAGAGACAGTACTGCTGCTCTCACAGTATGGATGACCCTCTCCATTTCCTCTGGCGGGAGAGTGGAGATGTGTGGAAAGTGGGAGTGTGGTGGAGAAGGGCCATCCTTACAGGAAGCAAATCCGGGACAAACGCTTTCCATTTCCTACACCCCAGCACTGGCCTTTGAATAGAATCAGCTCAAAACCAGTGCAGAGTGAGAATTGAAGGGAGTGAAAATCACCTGAGATCAACCAAGGGACATGTCCTCAGACCCTGGGGCCTGCCCGGTCCCTCATGATCCACACTTGATGCTGTGGCCTACCCCTCCCATCCTGGAGGACCTGCTCCCTCCTCTGCTTTGCTGGCTGGAAGGTTACTCGTTCCACAGCTATCTGGGTCTGCCCTGCAGAGCTCTCCTGCTGGTGGGTTGAGTCACTTATTTTCGTCAGACTCTTCCGGTGTTTTTGAGATCAGTTAGGGGGACAAGCGAGTGCAGAGAGAAGAGGTTAAGACTCTGGAATCAGACAGATCTTGGCTTGGATCTCTGCTCTTCAGCTTCCTAGCTGTGTGACCCTTGGCAAGTTTCTTCATCTCTGTGAGTCTTGAGTATAAAACAGGCTAATGACAATATTTGCCCCCACCTCATGAAATTGTCCTGAGGTGTTAGCACGCTAAGAGATGACGGGTAAAGTGTACAGCTCAGTGTTTGCCAGCTGCTGAGCTCTCCCTCAGTGCTGGCTTGTAGTACTTTTTTCTTCCACTTCAGGGCTGGGGCCAGGACCTATTTTTCTTTGCAATGTGTAACCTTTGTCCCTGCCTAAGTACGCACCCCCTTGTGGACATGTGCATACATGTGACAGAGTGCTCTCACAACCACTGTTCCAGGTGATCGTATAATCTTTTGAGGTGGGCAGATTGGAAGTTATCTCCCTTTTCAGAGGTGAGGAAACTGAGCCCCAAAGGATGTCAATGAACTGTCCAAGGTCCTACAGCTAGAGTGCAGCACAACTCCAACTCCATTTTCTTGCCCTCTGCCTGGCACGTTCTCCATTTGGCAGACCTCACAGGAGAAGCAAGTGCAGGAGAGAGAGAAAGAGAGAGAGAGAGAGAGAGAGAGAGAGAGAGAGAGAGAGAGAGAGAGAGAGAGAGAGATATGTCTCCCTTGCCTTCTTGTCTTCTTTGTCTTCATGTCTCCTCAGTTGTCCATGGTCACTGAGCAAACAGTGATGGTGCTGTCTTTCCCTTCGGGAAGCCTGGCTTTTCTAATGGAATTGTCCTAGGATGGGGCTGAGGGTATGTGGGCAAGCTCATTTTGGCTCAGAGGCTGGGACAGGCTCTGGCATGGGTACAGTGGGCTTTGCCTGGACTACCCTTCTTTGAAGGATATAGGCTATACAGTGCCACATAGACCTTGTTTCTCCTGGAAGAGGCCTGGACAAAATTCTAGAGGGCCACCTGCCAAACACAGAATCTGGGTAATTGAAGCTGAGGAAAAAGAAGGGGACTTGTGGTTTATGTGTGGCCCTGAGCACCTTTATCTGAAGTGACAGAGGATCTCAGTATCAAAGTGTTAGTTCTTTCTCAGACTCTTTCCTCCAGCTCAGCTCCCCTGTGGTTTGGGGCCTAGCGGTGTCTAAAAAGAAGTCTCTGGTTCCCACCCCCGTGAGCCAGAGAGCAAGAGGAAACGGCCCCACTCACCCAGGAGCGGCAGCCAATGGCAAGTCTGCTGGGCCTAGCACCATGCAAGGTTTGGACGAGGATGACAGGGTTTGTGTGAAGACTCATGAATCTCCTCCCTCCTGTGCCCACCACCACTGCAACCTTAGAGAAGCAGCTGGTGTGGGGAGAGTACAGCCGGAAGTGGTAGCCATCTAGGACCCAAGAGATGGGGCAGGATGTACACCCCAGTGCCCGGGGGGCACAATCTCTCAGCTGTCTCAGTCTCTGCCTGGGAGCTGTTCCTCTGACAAGGGGGCTTTCCCATAGTACACCTGGGCTGAGCTCCAGGGAAAACTGGTAGGGCACAGTGAAGCCCTGGAGGCCCCAGATAAGGACCTGGGCCCAGGGCTTGTGGACCTGGTTCAGGCCTCCTACTTTGGCACGGTCCCATGGTCTCACTAGATGTGCAAAGTGTGCTTGCTGGTTGACTGGGAGAATCTTATGATGCAACCCAATCCTCAGACCCAACCAGAGAAACTTAGATCTGGCAAAGGCTTCAAGGAATCTTTGAGGCTGGCCTGTGCCCCAGGAGGATAAACACCTCAGCTGTTTCCCTTCCTGGTTTTTGAAATTTCGCCCATTGAATTATTCCTCCTTGGCTTCCACTCCTACTCACTATCTTCCTAGCGTCGTTTCTCATTTCTCACAAACATTTTCTCCCCAACAGGGAAGAAACTGTACAGCTCCTTGCATCTCACCACAGCTTGGGGGGTCCTTTGCCTGAGTGTGGACCTTACCTCAGGCCCTATCACCAGTGGCCTGGGGAGCTGCAACAGAGCTGAGCCCAGTGGGCAGGGTCTGGGTGCTGGCCAAAGGGCGGAGGCCCTGGATCATCTTGGCTGGGTGGCCCAGTCGGGATCTTTGAGTGAGATGGCTTCAGAGAGGCCACACTCCAGCAGAAGAGGTGGCAAAAACAATGGAGGGAAAAGAGAATTAAGTCTTAAGTGTCCAAGTTGAGCGTAGCATTTTGTAATTCTTGAAGTCTAGTTTAGGATTCTGATGCCTAATTTTAGTTCTTTAGCACGGCACGGTAGAGTTGAAATCTATAACTCCAGACCTCTGAGAGTCTATAGCGTAGCTGTTATTTCAGTTTTAAAATTTTCTTTTACCCTCCTGTTACACTAGTAACCTTTGGGTCCTGTCCCGTTGCCATTTAGGAGAATAGCCCTCACCTATAGGCTCAACATATGGCGTTTGGCTCTTCCCACTTCTGAGTCCTGGAGGAGATACGTGGAGAGAGCAGAGAAGGGAAGGAAGAAGTGAGTTTCCAAAGGAGGGAAAGAAAAAGTGAGTTTCCTGAAGATGCTCCTCACCTTTTTCTTCTGAGTGGGCTCCTTCTCACTGGCATTGGAGGGCTTGCGGCGTAACATGGTCCTTTACCCTGGTGAGACTCCTTCCCTGCTCTCCTAGGTATTGAGATGTGGAGGCCTCTTGCTTAGCCTCACCAGCACCGTGCGGAGGGCACAGCATGGACCAAGCCTCCGGCTGCCACTCTGACTGCTGCAGTGGCAGCTTGGGGGTGCGGGCCATGGACACCCGGCAGCAACAGCATACAGGAAGCCCTGCCACGTGACCTGCTCTTACAGTAATCGCAGCCCCTGCGGCCCCTAGGGAGGAAGGAAGTCCCAGCTTCAGTCTCCAGAGATTCTGAGGCAGGCACCTCTTTGGTTGAACAATCAAAGAAAAGTCCCTATACTTTTGTCTCAGGTCAATCATCGCCTTCTGTTCCATCTCCCCAGAGGTAGTGATCAACTTCACATTATGTGGCCTACTCAAGCCCTGTACTCACTGACCAGAATCCAGAAACCAGAAGGGGGACTATCTCTCTGCCACTGGGCTAGTGCTTCTGGTCAACTTGTATCTTGAGAGTCATCACTGCCATCACCACCACTACTATCATCCCACAGTCACCACCTCTGTGGCCATTGTCACTGCTACTGCCACTCCTATTGATAGCCATCATGGTAAGGCTACCACCATCAGCAACGTTTTTCAAATGCTTGTGCACTATGCTCACTTTTGAAATTACCTATGGCAGATATTTTAATAACATCAGTGACTCATTCTTACTACAAAAGCAATTGGTATTTATCACGTACAATTTACTTTTTTTTTTTTTTTTTTGATACTGGGAATCAAATTCAGGACCTTGTGCTTGCCAGACAGGCACTGTGCCGCTGAGCTGTATCCCAGACCCTACCACACACAATTTAGCAAACACAAATAAATACACAAGAAATCAAAAAGTTCTCCATAATTATCTTTTATGCTCATTAAAACAATTATCCTTGGGGCTGGGGATTTAGCTCAGCGGCAAAAGCGCCTGCTTGGCAAGCGCAAGGTCGTGAGTTCGGTTCCCAGTACCGGAGAAAAACCAAAAAAACAAAAACAAAAACAAAAACAAAAACAAAAATAATTATCCTTTTCTGTTTTAAACATCTATCTACCTCTCTATCAATACACCTTTTCTTCTTACTAAAATCTGACTGCACTGAAAGCAGATCATAGGTTTGAGGAGATGGAAAAGATATTACCAAGGGCACATGGAACCTTTTGGGGTGATTAATATATTCCCTATCTTGATTGTGGGGATGCCTTCATGGATATATAGGTATGTTAAATCTTACCAAATTGTACATTTTAAAATGTGCAGGTTCTGAAGGTCAACTACATACTTCAATAGAGTTGCATTTAAATTTTTAAAAATGAAAAAGTCAAACTTTACAAAGTGTGTTGTATCTGCTTTTCCACATGGAAGCCATTAAGATTTTCTCATGCTCTTAAATATTCTTCAACTATGTGAGTTGCAAATGGCTGCTGAACATGCCATTGTGTGATTATTTCGGCAAGCTCCTCCGGATGAACTCTGGCTGGATTTTTTTTAAGTACTCATTGAGTGCCTTTTAGGTAATATTCATTCACATCCACAATTTTGTTCTTAGGATAACTGTCCAGAGGGGAACTGCTAAAGTAAAAGTTTTTTTTTTTTTCCTAACATTCAAAGAAGACTTTATTTAAACTTAGAAGATAACAACAGGGAAATAAATTCATGGAGTAACATGAAGCCAAATACTCACCTTCAATGAATCTACTATAGGGATATCTTCCTACCTGATTTAAGACCTGCCTCCAGGTAACAGAGATCATCTTTGACCCATAACCTCTTAGGAGATCATAAATAACAGATGCACCTTTTAAAAAGCTTTTGAATGTGGCACTTGCGAAATCCTGAAGGGCCCACCCATGTTCCCAAGATGTGCTTGTGACTTCCTCCTCCAACTCTGCCCCACATTCCCCCAATCCATCAGTTGGGGTGAAAGCAGGGAAGACAAGGTCCTTCTCCCCTAAGCTGAAACTGTATTTCCTTTGGCTGTGGCCTACTCAAGGGGCCACAAAGATTCATGAAAAGAGTGCACCACAGATCTTTTCTCTACTGGCTTGCCTTTTCCACCCCAAAAGTCCCCTTCAGGCCGCCCTGGGACAAGAGTTTGGTAACTGACTAAGGCTTTACGGTGGGCATGTGGAGGAGCCTGGCAGCCTTGTAGGGAACCAACTCATGGTGCCTTTAGGGACGGGGTGATCAGGTGTGAGAGGGTAGCCATTCAGGGACTGGGACGGGTTATGGGGCTACGGAGGCCCCGGGTACCAGGCACTCTCAAGGCCCGAAGCCCCAACTGAGGGAGCAGTTCTCAGAACCTTTAGCGCCTGCGCAGAGGCTGCCTGTCTCCAAACAGGCACGCAGGATGTGCCCACTTCCTGTTTGCTCCGCCCCGGCAGCAAGCTGAGCTCACACGGTAACCGCAGAGCCTTCACAGGCTGCTGCTAGTAAACCAGGGCGCTGGGCCACTGAGGCCTGGGAAAAGGTAGTGAGAGGGCGGTTGAGGGCACCTAGGAGAGAAATACAGAGATGTGACGGGTCCTGGGACAGTGTTTTCAGCCCCATCCTTCTTTCTCCTTTCCAGATCTTCATCCTCTGATCAGCAACTGGAGCTTTGGGGGTCCAGGGTGTCCTCTATGCAGTCTTGGCTTCTCCCAACCTTTTTCTTCCAACAGATGGCCCTGGCTATAGTCCCAGCAGGTCAAGCCCCAGTGCACACTAATGGGCCTTTAACACTGATTTAATAGTCCCCCACCCCCGCACCCCAGCACTACTTTTGCACTTTATAGGTTACATTCCTGGTACACAGAACCTTTGGCTAAAGGCCAAAGAAATGATTTGTAGTGGTCAGTAGTTCAGTTAATAGGGCCACCTTTAACTTCATAATGTGCTGGCAGGCAGGGCCTAGGAGCTTGCTGTGGGTACAGTCTTGTGCGGCGCTTTTGCCACTGAGCTAAATCCCCAGCCCCTTGTGCGAGGCACTTTGAAGGGGTACAAAATAAATAGCTGTCAAAATCCATTGTACAGGGAAACTGACATTTACCTAATGTGTGTTCTTTGCAAAACACTACATTAGACACTTTACAAATGTCTTTTAATCTTGCTGCAAACTTCTGAAGTAGGTAGTTAGAAGTGGGATAAGTATGGTAAAGATATGCCTGCAGGCAGAGATGTCAGGTAGGAGAACTTTGAGTTAGCAGCAGTGTTGCAAGATGTATGTGTGCGAGTGTGTGTGTCCCAGTGATAGCAAGATGAGTCTAAACCCTGGGAGGGTGGATGCAGGGAGGAACACCAAGGTTATGATAGCAGGTCCCCATCAGCATGCCAGCAAGAGATTTGGTAGATGGTTGTGGGTGAGATATTTGGGGCAGGCGCAATCCAGACACATCTGAAAGCATCCTTCCCTTACTCCCTGAATAGACATATCCTTGCCTTGAGATAGTAACAGTTTGGATACTGAGGAATACCTATATTTGGGAAAACTTCCTAAAAGATTCTTACTCACCCCTTTCCCTGTCCACATCCAGTTGAAAAAATAGCCAGGCAGGTGGTGCACTTTACAACAACCCACTAGATCAGCTGCTGTTGTTATCCTCATTTCCCAAGGAGGAAGCCAAGGTACACAGGGGTTAATCAAATTGCCAAAGACTACATAGCTACTGTGTTAATCAGCTTTCCGTTGCTGTGACAAAATACTTGACATAAATCAAATGAAAAGAGGAAAGGTTTATTTTGGCTCACAGTTTCCATAGTTTCAGAAATTTCATTCCATGGCTGCCCAGCTTCATGGTTGTGGGCCTGAGGTGAGGCAAAAACATCATGTTGGCAGGGTGAAGCAGAGGAAAGCCATTCAACTGGCAGCAGCCAGGAAGCAGAGAATGAAGGAAAGAACTAGAGAGGAAGGTGCCAAAGACAAGGTATAGTCCTTAAACTCATACCCCCATGTCTTGTCCCACCTCCTGTTTTCATCACCTCCCAATAATGCCATCACAGAAGTATAGATAGCCAACAAATGCGTGAAGAAATGCTTAACATCTCTGGCCATTAGAGAAATGCAAATTAAAACAACACTGCTATTTCATCTTGCCCCAGAAGGAATGGCCACCAAGAAATCAAATAATAACACTGGTGAGGCTATAGAGAAAAAGGAACCCTTTTATATTGTTGGTGGGAATGTAAACTAATACACCTAGTATGGCAATCAGTATAGAGATTCCTCAAAAAGAACAACAACAAAAACAAAAACTAGAAATTACATTTGACCCAACTATTATATTTCCCTTCTAGGTATCTTCCTGAAAGAATTAAAGACATCATATGGTGGTGATATATGCATGGCCATATTTATAGCAGTGCAATTTAATAGTTAAATCTTGGACATTACCTATACGTCCATCAATAGATGAATGGAAAAAGGAAATGTATTTACACACAATGGAGTACTTTGCCATAAAGAAGGATAAGCTTGAGTCATTTGTAGGAAAATGGATGCATATTGAGATCATACTGTTAAGTGAAATAAATCAAACACACAAGCTTAAATATCATATGGTTTCTTTTATATGAGAAACCCAAATTATAACTAAAGAGAAAACTAAGAGATAAGAGGAAGTAGCTAGACAGATCTTTTTTCAAATGGGAATGGGATCATTAGATAGAGAGAGGGGGAAGGGATGGACGGAAAGGGGATAAAAAAGGAATTAAGACGGGTGATGTACATGTACCAACTGCACACAAGGAATGTAAACATTATTCATAGCAAACCTGTTGTCTAAGTTACTTTTTCTCATTACTGAGACAGACTACCCAGCACCCAAAGTTAAAGGGAGAAAGGTTGATTGTAGCTCACAGCTGGTAGATTTTTCAGTTCATAGTTGGCTAGCTCTAAGGTAGGATGGCATGGCAGAGGGGCATTGCAGAGGAGAAACAGTTCATGGTGAGAAGAAGGCAGCAAAGCAGCGAAGTAGGGAGGGAGCAGCAAAACCACCACAGCAGCCCTCTTTTTCTCCCTTATATTCTACCCACGCTACATGCCCTTTGGGCAAGTAACACTCATACCCAGGGAGGGTGTTCCCATTATCCACACTGATAACTATGCCAACCCAATCAGTGGACTAATTTAGTAATCATATTTGCTTGATCTCAGCATCACACACTTAATCCCAGAGTCACACACTCCAG